GATACTGTTGACAAGACTGAAATTCTAGCCGTCTCAATATTTCCTTCCTTTCTTTCTTGTGCGGTGCTTCATCTTGGAAAATACCTTTTAAATTTCAACAACCTATCATTCAACTACTCATAGGTTACTGTTTGTTTTTTGTTGAAGGAATAACTGGCACAGAAGTTTTTCAATTATCTCTTCATTCGAAATTTGATCATGTTCAAGGAATTGGACTCCACAGTCTGTTAATGGGTCTGTTAACGGAAGATGTTGAAAATAAACCTTATCGTCTTGACCCTGGTCCCCTGTCGTTGAGTTTGCGAAAAGAGACCGTCTTGTGAGTCTTTGTGCTTACAACACCATTATTACGTGATCATACCACCCCAATTGCGCCCAATCCCACTAGATATGGAGAAAGAGAGAAACGCCTGTCGGCTGTCAAACGAGAGTATTTCAGCCGTTCTTTCAAGTAACATTGGAAAAAGCTGTACCAGAAACGATTCAGAACAATCATGTGCTGTTTAAAGCGTTAATAATGAGACTATATTATGCATCCAATTCAGTTTCGTTCTTCACAAATACTCTATTGCATTAACTGAATGACGCAACATATGCGATCTTTAATCAAAGGGCTAGAAAACGACCACGTATTTTTATGCATACGTGCACCGATGCTGCATGTGTAAATCGTTCCAGTTCGTCCAATGTCGTGGACAATGCGACAATGTATTTACGATGGTGTCCGAATGCTTAGCTGCGAAGGTGGCGCGAAACGAACACTTGGCGAGGAAAATTGAGGCTGAGTTCGACGCAGACCTGATGAAGCTTGTGGACAGGTGTTTCGTTCCGAACGAGGCCGCTGCCAGCCAGTAAGTTTTCTTCTCAGCGTTACACATTCGATGTCAACCGCCTTCGGTTTCAACTTCAACTTCAAGGAGGCAGCTCTGCGTCCTGAACCACGCGACGATGCACGAGAACCTTTTCTCCGAAAACGGACCAATGAGAGACTGTACCGATTGCTTGAGAAGCATGAAAGACGTTTTGAAACGACTGTCGGGCAGCAGACCGGCTCAAAAAAAGTGCATGCACGACGGGTACATCTCGATCCTGAAGGCGATTAATCCGAGCTGCCAGATCGTGCGTAATCCACACATGCACGAAGTGTACCAATATTACGTGACAGGTGAAAGAGGCCCAAATCCTTTGTAAGTATATAAGTGCTACTTTGCAG